TAGAAACTCTAACATTTTGCACAGAAAGGGAGATCAGAAATACTTTTCCTAGATAATAAATAAAAAGAAAAATCTAAAAATTAAGGAGGCTGGGATGTTCAGAGGCAAAATTCCAATCTTCCCCCACACTGTCACCCCTTGTCTCTCTGGGACCCTTTAGCGCACAGGATTTGGATACTCTTGGTTGGATCCAACATGACAGCTTTCTGGTTCTTCTGCAATGTGGACCTCATTAAATTAAACAGAAGAGAATGGAATATTTGACTCAAGCCCGGAGTAGGCAATAACAAAAATGAAGGCAGTTAATTTAACCATAAGCCAGCACCATATTCCTCTAAATACTTTGTGAGTAAAAGGGTGGGCTGGAACTGACAGAAAACAGCTGGGAAGGCATGAAAAATAAAATATGCTCAGCGGTTTGCAATGCAAGGAAGATTTTCCTCCCTGTGCACAAGATCTGGGCGGCCTATGAGGCAAAGCCCCCTATAGCACCAACATTAACAATGGTGGATTACCTGGCTGTGAAGACATGGAAATGGGCCCCTGGGACATAGGGGAAGGCATTTACAAACATAAAGGCACACCTGTTGCACAAGCCTGTGCCCTGGCTAGGGAGGGCGGCTCATGACAAGAGGGAGGCTGGGTCCTCATTCTGTGTCAGTGCAGCGGTGGTGTCCTCTCAGCTGCTGTGAGCAGAGTGGGATCACACAGGACTCAGAGCCACCAGGACCTGGGTGCCACAGATGCGAGCATCCGCTCCCACAACGTGCCAGGGAGCCCATTTGCTGCTATCATTCAATGCCTAATGTGTGCCTAGCTCTCCAATGGTGTGCAAGACACAAAAGATAAGACACGATCCCCCATTAAAAACAACTTCTAATTAGACAAATTGGGGGGATCACTATGTTTGAATTATGCATTAGATGTTTTGACCTTAAGTAGATATCTCTTTTCATAAACATGGACCAGCAGTTCAAGAACAAAGATATCAGAGAACAAAGAAGGAGAAATTTGAAGGTCTAGGTTTTGTTTGAATAGATCAGAACACGGAGGAAAATTAGTCTGGCAAAGAGAGGGAAGTTGTGATTTTCACCGCCTATTCCTGTGTGCAGAATAAGGCTGACTGGCTTGGCTGACAGTCTCCTAGGAGCATTAGAAATAGGGTGAGTCACACAGGGTCAGAGATAGTGGTGCCCTCCCAGGTACCCAGGAAACTCTAGCTCCTAGAGCCTACAAATGTATTCCTCTTATGGAAGAGGAGATTTGCAGATGTGATTAAAAGCAAGGATCTGGACAGGGTGAGCCTTGCAGATGGTGGGTCCAGGGCTACTACAGGGGGTGCGAAGGCCCTCAGGTTGGAGGCTTGGGAACCACGTAGCGCCTGGCTGTGGAGAAGGAAGGAACAGGCCGTAAGTCAAACGCTGCAGCGTGTACCAAGAGTGAGACAGTGCATGTGTGTGGCTCTCAGCCGCTAGGTTCTGGGTGACTGGTGAAAATGGCACTAGGAGAACACAGTGCCAGGTTTATATACTAATCTAGACAAACAGGAAAGAAAAGAAATAAAATGCTCCTCACAGCTCTAAAAGAAATACAGTATCTTCAATAAAACCTGCCCACATGAAAATACAAAATTCTTGTGAATTAAAATAAATACCGTACTCAAAACCTAAAAACCTTCGGTGAAAAATACTTCCAGCAAGTGACACATATTGTGTTCATCGGCCGCACAAACTAATAAGAAAAAATTGAAACCTCAGTAGACAAATGAGAAAGCACATAAAAGTTGACAATTCAAATAAGGACTACAAATGTTAAACAAACTTAATAAATATCAACCAAAACAACAAAAGGCAACATAAACACTTGCTAAATAAACAAGTATAATTTCTAAAGAGAGGCAGTATTCAAAATTGACGAGATACTATGAGTGATACTTGCTGGCTGCACTATAAATCTACTATAACCATTTTGGAAAGTAATTTGAACCCAGAATGGTGTCACACTGTGCTGGGGGAGGGGAGGCACTGAGGCAGCAGGGTGGCTCTAAGCTGAGGCTAGTTGGACTAGTGAGTTCAAGGCAACTGAACTACATAGCAAGACCCTGTCTCAAAATTTAAAAAAAAGATTAACTTAAATCGAAGAGAAATAATTTGGTAAAATCTATCAGGAAATATACAAAGGCACATGTGCTTTGATTGAAGAATGCTTTTTGTTCATAATCTACCTTTAGGACACAGTCTTGAATACAGAGAAATAGAGATGAACGCACATATACAGACACTGACTGCTGGGAGCTCCCTGCGTGGTGCACACAGTCTCTTTAGTTCATGAAACAAAACTAGTAAGTTAGCCCTCTACCCTCATGTCACCAATGAAGAACCTGTGGACCAGGCAGAGTGTGTAGCTCATGCTGAGAGCTAAGAGCTAGGCACAGATGAACAGACTTGGGAATTTCCTGCTTCTGCAGCATAGGCACATCTACACTTTACGTTCCACCACGTGGGACATGGTGAGCAGGGCAGGATTTATTTTTTACACATACATAATAAAGTCACTGAAAGGAAAATAGCAATTGGACTAAGATAGTAGCAACAGCATTAGGATGGCAGGTAACCATGGGCTATCTACCCTGCCCGCAACCTCCTGTACAGTTTAGCATTCCCCCCGACTCTCAACGAGGGACTGAATCCAGGGCCTCTGCACCCAACTATATCCACAGCCCTTTTAAAATTTTGAGACAGGGTCTCATTAAGTTGCCCAGGCTGAGTCTGAACCTGAGATTCCTCTGCCTCAGTCTCCCAGAGCACTGGGATTACAGACATGAGCTACTACACCTGGCTAAGATTTAGCTATGTAATCCAGAAGCAACCTGAGGACAAGAAAATAATTTTATAAAGAAAAATAGACTTTAAATATCTCTGTATGACAGAAAAAAATACTAAGAAAAGTGTAAATAACACTGTATTATTGTTAATTACAAAAGCTAGGTCTATATAATTATTATGGACTTTTGATGTTGAATAGGAGATGCTTTTAGTTTCTGCCTCAAATCAGTAAGGCGGCGCTTCTGTGTGCATGTGGCGCACAGCGAGGCCCAGGTATCATCTTTCTAAAGGTGAAAGCACTTGCTAGCAGTTCATGTATTATTTTAGAGGCAACTTGGGGTCACTGGCTAAGCACTATTAGAAAAAGAGAACTAGAATGTAGAATACAACAAAACAAACTGTGCATACTGCAGAAATACCAAACTACTTCAAGAAAACTAGGTGACAATAGGTTTAACTACATTTAAAGAGAAAACATCTTATGTAAACATATGACAGCATAGCCTGTTACAAAATTCAAATACAAAAGTTAAGAATAACAAAATTGTAATAAAAGGATAAGGCTCACAAGAGAACTGCAGCAACCAGTGAAGTCTGTGTTCAGCATGATTTTCTACCCACCTCAACTCTTCTGTGCAAAGAAGTGTTTTTTTCTACATCTTACTATTGCTTAGTTTTCCAGCTACCTTTTGCCAACTCTAACACAGTCACAATGGAGCAAGGAAGAGAGACTGCTAGCAGGAGCGATGCCCTCTGGAGGTAGACCTGACAGTGTCTCCTGACCCTCCACAGAGCAGCTCATCTCTAGGTTCCTGTAAGATGTCTCAAGTATTCTAACAGAGCTGCTAACATTGCAAAACTGGTAAGTGTGAGAAGTGTTACTCTATGAACTTTGAAAGACCTCATTATATGATTATAATACTGCTCAACACATTGACAGAACTGCAGATATTAAGAGAAGAGCAAGTCCTAAAAAACGCAGGAATTTTTCTGACGGTGATCACTAAGCACTGGCCATGCTGACGAACAGGGAGAGGTTCCTCTGCTGAAAGATGAGATGACTCATTCTGAGCAAGAGAGGAGGGCATGTGAACACCCCAAGCACTGGGTAGCTCCTGACAAGTCAAATGGCCATCACTGCACAGTGCCTTATGTGTATGGTGACATTTGAGGTTCTACAGAGGACAGCTGGACTGGGTCGGGTTGTGGGTGCTGGCTGTGGGTCAGGAAGGACTCAGACTGCTGGGCAGCTGTGGCACTCCCTGCAGGAACATGGCTCACCAGTAACCAGCAGGGAGCTCTCTGAACCTACTTCCTCACAAACCAACAGCAACAGAACTCTATGAGGAGGAAGTGAGACCCAGATTCTCAGTTTTTTTCTGAGTCCCCCGAGGTGGTGCTCTTGTAAAGTCTCCAAGCAACATTTGCAAAAACTTGTTTTCACCTGCGTTGTCTTGTCTGGAAGTAAACTTTAGCTTGAAATGAATCCTAAGGGAGAGCTAAGTGTGAATTCTCTCTTGCCTCCCTAACAGAGGGGTGTAGGGAAACAGCCTTATGCACTGGTCTGTAACAATCCTGGTAAAGTTCATGCTCAATGCTCTATTTTCCTGATTATATAAGAAAGAAAACTTAATTTAAAAAATATTAAACTTATAATACGAAGCCAGTATCTATCAAGTTATTTATATACCAATAGTTCTCAGAAAATTTGAGATAATTAACAAAATTAATATTTTCTTGCTGGGGAGAAAGCTCAGTGGCATAAGCGCCTGCTTGGCAAGTACAAAGTCCCAAGTTGGATCCCCAATACCAAAATTAACTAATTAATTAAATAATAATAAAATAATCATTTGCTTTTTTCCTGTAAAATACATTAAATATATTTCAGGGATAAAATGACCTAGATATTATTCTCTCTGAACATATAATATCCAATACAATATACTGTAAATGGTTTATAACCTCATATTTGAGTATGTAAGGAGTCATAACAGCAAAAGCACCTACTACAGAAAGCACTCCTTTAAGTGACTGAGCAATCTGTTTTTAAAGAAAATGTATGTCATGATAAGACAAATTATATATACAGAGCAAACAATGGAACCATGGAAGGGGTCTTAATATTATGCTATCTGCCATATACCAAAAAGAGAAAAAGAATAAAAACCAAGTTACCTTTTTGTGCAAGGCATGAAACTCGCTATACCTCTTCTCAACAAAATGTTTTCTTCCATTCATTAGCACTTCTATTTTAAACACCTACAGAAAAAATTAAAGAGATTAATTCTACTAGCTCGAGACTCTCAATCGTCTGATGTGGTAAGTTTGTGACTGTGATATATTTCATCCCTTTAATTACAGCAGTGAATTTCCCCCAAACACAGAAGGCTCAGGAGACCCTGACCCAATAGCACTGATTAATGAGCACTGGACCCAAATGCTAACAAAATGCAGGAGCTTCCAAAAACATGTTTAAAATTAAGGGACACCTAGAAGCACTATTATGCTAGTCAATTTTTAACCAGGTAATATTCTTCTCCTAAAAATTATTTTATCGGGGGGGGGGGGATTACCCACTCGCCCCCCCCCCTCCGTCCCTCTCTCGGGACAGGAGCTTTCTTTCTCTCAATAAATGTATTTTTTGCTCACACAAAAAAATTATTTTATTAAATGACCCTGAAACTGAAGTGTGACACCACAGATAGCGCTCTGGCGAAATCTCCCTCAGTGGCATCTGTTGTGGGCGTTTCAGTGTGTCATCAGTAGGATGACCATGCAAAGGAGGAGTAGGGTATTTTAGGTTAGCTTCTCCCTAACCTGAATATTCATCTTTAGTCTCAGCTGGGCTTATTCTTCTGTTTGCAAAACAGGGAAAATGTACCAAGCCTCATTTTTCCTCCATGATGCAAGTGACAGCTCACTCCCACCCCCAGAAGGTTGAAAGGCCGCATAACAAGGCTCTCTGGGTGCACTAATTAGTAGGCACTGACATGACACTGCCTTGATTCTTGGGTCAGTGGGTCAAGACTGGGAACAAGGGAGAGAAATCCTGTGCAATACTCATAAAAATACAATGTTCAGGTTGACAGGGAGGGTTGCCTGGCAGGAGCTGAAGAGCAGGTGCTCCGTCAGCCCACAAGTTTGCATCCGACCTTTGCTTTACGAAGTGAGTTTTTAAACACCACAGTGAAAGAATATTGTCCAATTATTTCATAAAACTAATTTCATGTTTTAATTGCCCTCCTAGAAAAAACACTGAACTGTGAAGTCACATGATACTAGGAGTGTAAAAAAACACTTATTTAAGCCTAAAAATAAGAACTAGTCACATACTTTCACTATGTGAAAATAGACCCACAGAAATATATTTCTGCCTTATATGAAAACACTACTATTTTAGAAATTATGTTATTAAACATAAAAATCTACCTGAAAAAGTTTCCATTTTTGTACTTCTCTGAATCAGAAGCAAAACCTTTCAGTGCATGACTCAGTTTAAGTAACCTGGATTTAAATAAGTAGAGAAATTTTACCAGCTTAATCAGTACTTCATATATTTTAATAAATCTCTCCAAAGAAATACTTTTCTTCAGTTGATTAAGAAAATGTTTTCTTCTAAAGAATATATGTATATTCTTCAAACTCTCAGATATATTTATATATCATTTTTTAGGAAAAAATTCTACTTCTTAATTCATCAAAGAAAATTCTTCAAAGATACTACCAGGAATACAATCAAGAAACAACCCAAGAGGGAGAGTGAGTGAGACTACCAGGGCTGCGGGATCCTGAACAGACCCAGAGCGCAGGCCCGGGGAGTCAGTAAGACGACCTGGAGCCTTCCGGATCCTGAATAGACCCAGAGCGCAGGCCCCGCGAGTGAGTGAGACAACCTGGGGCCTGTGGATCCTCATTTGACCCAGGCTGCAGGCCCAGCAGGGAACCCTTCAGCAGAACTCCCTGCAAAGAGGCTAGAGGCAAGACCCACCCAGCTGATTCAGGAGCAGAACATCTTGCCAGAGTGACACAAAGGGT